AAAGTCCTGCGGCCTTTTGCCTTGTCAGTTCTCCGTCTGCTGTCACTCAGCCGCCGAATTCTCCTTCAAGTTGTCATAGCGAGGCTGGCGGGGATTATGCCGCGGCTCTGTCCAGAATTGATTCATGTGGAACGCGTGCTTGACGGGCGGAACCGCTGGTGTGAGCGGGAGCCGCTGAGACCCCCGATTTTCCCACCTTCCTCACACAATCTGGTATTGTTTGGCCGCAGCCTTAGTGATCCCTGCGCCGGGGCTGTGACTGACACAGCTTTGAGGCTCTAAGGCGTATTTTGAATTTCTAAAACCTCTCAGGAAGTCCCCGGGGTGCCTTCTGCCATTGTCTTGTTTCTCCTTTCGCCTTTTTCCCTTTCCACCCCGAACCCCTCCTGCATCCCTGACACAACCCGAGTTTATTTTTTTTTTTTGCCTTTTCCCCCCATGTTTATGCTCCAACTCTCTCCGGAGCTGTTCAGCCACTTCTCAAACAAGATTAAAAAAAGAAAAAAAAAATTAAATAAAACATAGAAAAACTAAATAAAGCTCTAAAAGTTCCCAAATCCTTGATCCGCCGTGGAGAAGAGGAGCTTTACTTGTTTGCTTTTAATCAGCTGACACAAACCCCGGGACGTGTTGAAAAATAATAATAATAATAGTAGAAATAAATCTTTCTCCGAGTCGTAATAGAAATAAATCTTTCYCCTAATCTTAATAGAAATAAATCTTCCACCTAATCTTAATAGAGATAAAGCTAATCTGTGGTGTGCTCGTGTTCTGCTGTCTGCGCTGCTCCGGCCATCCATCCCTGCTGGGGTCACCCAGAGTGACCATCCCATAAAATCCACATCAGGAGTTTCCCTCTGGATTGAGTTTTCCCACCCGAGGTGAGCAGAACCCCCGTTCCCCTCCTCAGACCGGGCACTGCCCCATCCCCGCGGCATCCCCAGACCCCTCCGGGCTCGGCGCTGTGTAACCATTTCCCATTTCCAGTCTTAATCTTATAAGAAGGAATTGAGAATGACCAGTGTAAATACACAGGTGCCACTGGGAGCAGAAACCACTCTTTAATCTCGGATATGAAAACAATTCCCTGCTCCGCGCGCTGGCAATCAGCGAGTGCCATCAGCGCCGCGCTCTCCCCGGGAACACGAGAGCTTATAAATATGAATTAGTGCAGAGAAAATCTACTCTCTTACCTAAAGCTAAATGTTATCTGGGTCCCTTTCCAGCAGTGGCTGACATTTCCAGAGTGCTTTTAGTCACATCTGCTGGAAGACAACTCATTTCTTGTCTGAAAAAAAAAAAAAAAAATAGGAAAAGAAGGAAGAGAGGGAAGAGGGAGGAAGTGGAGGAGGATGCAGGGAGATGTTGGGAAGGAGGGAATGCTGGATGYCTGAGCTTCCTCTGGAGAGGGGAGACGCTGGGTGGGCTCTGGGGTGGCTTCTTGAGGTCATTGGGATGAGGATGAAGCAACCAAGGACCACGAAGCCCCAAGGAGGTGGCCCAAGGTGGCTTTCAGGTGCCACCTGTGCGAGCCCTCGGAGTGTGGGTGCTCCTGGTTGGGGCGCTGAGCAGCCCTGGGGTGGCTCTGAGTGCCTCCCAAATGCTGGGGTCCTGTTTGGGGTGGGACACGAGCAGTGGGGTSCCCAATAGACCCCTCGAGCAGTGACAGCATCCAGTGCCACAGGAACGGTGAATCCCGAGGGATCGGTGCCCACAGCCCTGGCACGGAGCTCTTTGGGTTCTCCTGGGTGAGGGGAGATCGGGAAGAGTCCCAGAGGGATCCTCGTGTGCCAAAATCCCGGTGATCCAAGGCCGGGCAGGGCTGGAGCAGCACCTGCGGAGCTCCAAGAGCTCCCAAAATGGAGCCGGGGAAACTGAGGCACGGTGCGAGAACTGCTCCCAAACCCCGCCTGAGGGGATCTCCTTGGAAAGATGGGGTGGGAGAGGYTCTGGGTGCTCCCCGGAGTAGGAATCTGTCCCAGGAACGGGGATTGAGATGCTCCAGCACCACCCCGGCCTCCAACACCTCTCTCACCTCTCACCCTCCCGCTCTGAGCTCTCGAGGGACCCCCAAAAAAACCCCAAATCCCCCCTGGGCCGGCGATGGGACAGGACGTGCAGCCCCCTCCCAGCACCGGGCTGCGATCCCACTCTGCCCACGAACGAGGGAAGGGAAGGGAAGGGAAGGATCCAGAGCCCGGAGAGGCTCTAATGGGATGCTTAAGCCGCCTTTTAGGTTTTTAATGAGCGGATCCCGGCAGGAATGCTAAACACGGGCAGGTACAGCCCTGCCTCGCCRGCAGCCGCGCGTCTTCCCGTGTCCTTGTCTGGCTCAAGCGAGCTCTGACCTCATTTGCTTCGCGCCGTTCAATTAACGAGGCGAGCGGCGCTGGGGGGGAAGGGGGGGATGCCGAGGGGGGTCACCCCGTGTATTAATTTCCATTTTATGTTCCAAACAATTGAGCAGCGCACGGCGGCAGCCGGGCCCTGGAGGAGCCGTTCCCAGATTCCGCTCTGGCCGCGCTGGGTTTTGRTMGAAATCCCCGGGAAGTYTGGGGTGTTTGGGGGRGATTTTGGGACCCCGYTTCAGCTTCACCATCACGATTTTCATCCAGGAAAAGCGCTTTCGCCGTTTTTGGGTAATGTCCCTCCATCTTGCGCTTCATCCGGAACTGCCAATGAGACAGAAACGATCGGGAAAAGGGCGAGAGAGGGAGAGAAATGTTTCCCGGGATGTTAAAATAGCCGCTTCAGGAACCTAAATTTATGCTGTTCCGAAATGGGTTTTAGCGCAGGGTAATGAGAGAACAAAATAATTAATTCCTCTCCCGCAGACAAAAGGCTGGAKGCGCCGATCCCACCGAGGATGGGACAATTCCCGCTGCCAGCAGCTGGAATTCCACCTTGGGAATGTGGCCTGGCTGGGGACAGGCGCTGCAAAGGGAACCCCCCGCCTTTTGGGGATTTTGGGGTGCTGGGGTGTGCCCTATTCCCMTCCTCAGCGCCCACACCGGTGCCCACCCACGGGAAGGGGTTTTGGAGCCGAATTATGGGATTTCCAAAAGGAAGGAGCTGCCTCCCGATTCCAACACAGCCCCTCACTCTGAGGGGATGAACGGGGGGATTGTGCTCGTTCGGGATCSAGTGATAAATATTAATTATGCAAAKCAGCCTCTCCAGCCCACCCTTGTCTCCACAACATTCCAGGACTGGGAGAGACKGAGGCAGAGTCAATTAATTCATGGAGCAGGTCACTCCCAGTACGAACATCCCTTTCAAAAGGGAGTTGCAACCGGAGGAGATCAAGCAGGGCTGAGTTTGCCTCCCTCAGATATGATAAAATATTCTAATAAATACTCGGGAAGCCCATGACAAGGAGAATGTTTTTTTGTGCTGGCGAGACCTTCGTGGTGAGGCCTTTTGGGGGGTCTCCCGTCTGTGCTGGGGGATTTGGGGGGTTCTGCARCATCCTCAGGGCCTGTCTACCCTTCGGTCCCATCAGATGGTCACTGCCMCATGGGATTCCCTCATGATTTACGATTTTTAATTAAAAAAAAAAACAAAAAAAAAACAAACAATAAAAATCTGCTGTTTCCTAACCTTGGATGTTCAGGAAGAATTTTTTCCTCCCTTTGCTGTGGGGAAGACAACACCCCACAGGTTTCCCGACACCGTGGGTGGCCCTGAACACAGGGA